CCCCAAAACCCCAAAACCCCAAAACCCCAAAACCCCAATAATTATAAAAATAATTGAAATTTACACCATGGAATTCTTATTCAATCAACAAAAGCAGAACACTGGTGACAAGTAAGGGAATTGCTTTAGGAATAGAGACTCCTCTGAAACTAAGAGGCAATGTTTGGATCAGAAATTCAGCCAAGCTCAGATCCAAAAAATTTCAGACTTCTTCAACACCTTGTTTAATAGGAATGAGTCAAAAGACTTGCTTTCAAACTTAACTGATATTTTAGATGAAAGATATACTAGTATTGAAGAATTTGACTTGATCAAAGACTCTAAGGCTTCTCAAGAAGACCTCATTAGAGTCAAACAAATGCAATCAATGTTGAGGAATGACATCGCCTTGCTCAGATCAGACTCTGACCGTGATTTTAAAACATTAAAAACTACTTCACTTGAAGTAGAAGTTATCAAAATGAGAATGCATAATAAAGCAGAGGTAGAAGCAGTGCTAAATCTTCAAAACTCTCTAGATACTTACACTCCACTATACAAATATGAAGATTTGATGGCTTCCATTCCTGACTTTGTCCGGAACGCTCGTTTCAATGATATCATTAGCAAAATATAATGTCCATTGAAGAAAATTTAAAAGAAACAGCAAAAACCGAATCTATAATGAAATAGAATCTCAGATTTAAGAGAGCAAATTGCTTATCGAATCAATCAAGCACTGACCAAAGAAGCATTCGAGAAACATCAAAAAGAGTTGAAGAGTAAGATCAAGGAGTTATACAACATCACACTAAATACACTCTTTCTGACTCACATCAATCCTCAACCCAATCTTCAAATCAGTCACTCTCTACCACTCAATTCTAACCTTTCTTCAGAATTCCAAACACATCTAAAAGCTCCTTCCAAACCCTAACCCTCTCCATAGATGAAATGGACAAAACCCAAGCAAACTTCTTAAGTCTACTAGAAGACAGGATAGCTGTTTTCCATGAACTCAACGACCAAAAAGTCAACAAACAAGGTACTAAAACTACCTAACTCTTTTAGTCTTTGATCAAGAAACTCACAAAATCTGGAAGCATTTCGACTTATTCTGTTCTTTCCAAAACCTAGCTGATTTCGAAGGCAGGATCAGACCCAGGATCGACGCTGCTCTCAAGAAGGTCCATGAATGAGTCAGAGACTGCAATGAAAACGAACTCATAATCAAAAGATTCGATGAAGTTTTACTAGATAAAGCTTCTAAATTCTCGATCAACCAAGTTTATAAGGACATCGACAAACTTATGTCTAAATAAGACTTATTTAGAGAACAAGAAAGATCTGGATTCAAGAAATATGGAAGCGGAACTTAAGCTCAAAGAGCTTGAACAGGAGATCAACAATGTTGAATCTAGGTAGTTTTGACATATAGTTTTAGAATTGGTCAAGAAATACAATCTGCTGTAGAACAGTCTGAGATAAATACTCTCACTAAATTGTACAATAAAATGGGAGGCAAACCCATCCAAAAAGAGGAAATCATCAGGTTAATAGCAGGGAAAGCTGATAAAACTGAGCTTTACGGAAATCTTAAACTCAAAATTGGTATTGAAGAAATGGATCAACAGAAACGGAATTTGTTCACCCTCCACAAATATCTCAAACATGTTATTAGCTTTTCGCATGAACTATTGTCAAACCATTTATTCAATTTAACTTCTACTGAGAATGAAAAGGCTAACTGTGAAGCAAACCTCATAGCCCAGATAAAAGAAATCTATAAGATGGTGTGTAAATTAGATAGCGACTTCGAACTCAAAACAAGATTCAAAGAGTACATTAGCAAGAAAGTCAGACCGATAAAACTAGACATTTCTCAACTGAAATTGCCTAAAAGATCATCTGTAAGTCTAAACCGGAATACTTATAGCTCTTCCAAAAAGAGAGAGCCAAGAACAGGTCTTTCTTCAACAAGAGTGTTGTGATTAGTCGAAATAGCTCAACCCAAAGATACTTGGCCTCAAATCGCAAGCATAACTATTCAAAAAGAAGTGAGGGCTCTCCTCAGATTGAAGCAAGAGATACCACAAACATTCTCCGTAACTCCCTCAAAGGGTTCCACAAACATAGCAGCAGCATGCTAAACAGCCAAAATAGGCTAAACTCCAAAGCTGATATTTCATGATTCAGCTTTCCGTTCAGCCCCGACCAAGAAGATGTGCAAAATTTCATCATGAAAAATCTCTAAAGTCTCAAAACTTATCTAAAAATTAGGGGTTTTGGGGTTTTGGGGTTTTGGGG